TTCCAGTTTTTAGTAAGTAACCCCCTATGTGTCTGCATTTAAAGCACTACTGTATATACAGTTGCAAGAAAAAGTATGTGAACCCCTTGGGATTACGTGGAGTTTTGCATGAATTGGGCATAAAATGTGCTCTGAACGTCATCTAAGTCACATCAATAGAAGAACACAGTCTGCTGAACATAATACTACACAAACATTAGATGTCGCCATTGTTTAATTGCACATAACATGTAAACATTCACAGTGCAGGGAGGAAAAATTATGTGAGGCCCTAACTTAATGACTTCTCCCAGAGCTAATTGGAGCCAGGAGTGAGCCAACCTTGACTCCAATCAGTGTGATGATATTGGATGTGTTGCTGACTGCTGTCCTGCCCTTAAAAAACACACACCTGTTTTTGGGTTTACTGGTTTCAAGAAGCACTGTCTGATGTGAACCATGCCTCGCAGAAAAGAGCTCTCAGAAGACCTACGATCAAGAATTGTTGACTTGCATGAGGCTGGAAAGGGTTACAAAAGTATCTCCAAAAGCCTTGATGTTCATGTATCCACGGTAAGACAGACTGTCTACAAATGGAGAAAGTTTAGCACTGTTGCTACTCTCCCTAGGCATGGTCGTCCTGTAAAAATGACTGCAAGAGCACAGCGCAGAATGCTGCATGAGGTAAAGAAGAATCCCAGAGTGTCAGCTAAAGACCTACAGAAATCTCTGGCACATGCTAACATTTTTGTTGACACATCTACAATAAGGAAAACATTAAACAAGAATGGAGTACATGGGAGGACACCACGGAGGAAGCCATTGCTGTCCAAAAAGAATATTGCAGCACGTTTGAAGTTTGCAAAAGAGCACCTGGATGTTCCACAGCACTACTGGCAAAATATACTGTGGACAGATGAAACCAAGATTGAGTTGTTTGGGAAGAACACACAACACTATGTGTGGAGAAAAAAAGGCACAGCACACCAACATCAAAACCTCATCCCCACTGGAAAACATGGCGGAGGGGAGCATCATGGTTTGGGGCTGCTTTGCTGCCTCAGGGCCTGGACGGATTGTTGTCATTGATGGGAAAATGAATTCCAGAGTTTATCAAGACTTTTTGCAGGAAAACGTACAACCATCTGTCTGCCAACTGAAGCTCCGCAGAGGATGGGTGATGCAACAGGACAATGACCCAAAGCATACAAGTAATTCAACAAAACAATGGCTGCAACAGCACAGAATACGCCTTCTGGAGTGGCCCAGTCAAAGTCCTGACCTCAACCCGATTGAAATGCTGTGGCATGACCTTAAGAGAGCGATTCACACCAGACATCCCAAGAATATTGCTACACTGAAACAGTTTTGTGAAGAGGAGTGGTCCAAAATGACTCCAGATTGTTGTGCAGGTCTGATCTGCAACTACAGGAAACGTTTGGTTGAGGTTATTGCTGCCAAAGGAGGGTCAACCAGTTATTAAGTCCAAAGGTTCACATACTTTTTCCTCCCTGCACTGTGAATGTTTACATGTTATGTGCAATTAAACCATGGCAACATCTAATGTTTGTGTAGTATTATGTTCAGCAGACTGTGTTCTTCTATTGTTGTTACTTAGATGACGTTCAGAGCACATTGTATGCCTAATTCATGCAAAACTCCACGTAATCCCAAGAGGTTCACATACTTTTTCTTGCAACTGTATTCTTTAAGAAAAAACTTTTTTTTTTTACGGGGCAGGAGACCTCTGTCAGGCTTTTACTATTATACAAAGTAGGACTGCCACCTCATCCCTTTTAAACCCAAACACATATTAATTACACAGGTTCTGTGACTGAATAAGGTGGTAAATAAACTTGCTTGGTGCCTTATCTGCATTAAATTAGCCTCAGAACTTGTGTAATTAATATGTGTTTGGGTTTAAAGAGATGAGGTGGCAACCCTACACCAAAGGCATAATTTGATGGGAAATCCACAATTTTTACAGTTGTCACCTGAACTGGAGTAGAGGAGAGTGATGTCACAAAGCCATATGATGGTTGCCTCCTTACAGCAGAACAAGTAAATCGTTATGTACAATGCTCAGAACTCTGATGTGTTAGTATCTTTTTTATTTTTGCAGAAAAAACAAATCCCAGTGAACCTATATGCCTCGCAATATGAAGAGGAAATCATAAGCCACAATCTTATTGAAGTTGTTGCTTTGTGCATATTGAAAGGTGGAAAGAAAATGCTTGTTCGGAAAGTACTGTTTATTGAAAGACCTCCCCTGGAAATTCAGGTAATGTCAAAGAAATTAGGATGGATTAACATGATTGGCTAGCAGCACACAATAATTCTAAGAGCTTCTTTGTACAATCTTTGAGTTACATTGTAGCTCCGTCTGATATTACTACCTAGAAACAGCATAAGGCCTCATGCACATTGCAGCTCAAAAAAGCTGCTTCTTTGAGTGAGCTTTTTTTTTTCTCTGCCTGTAACCCTCTACGTTAGCTTATGTGTCCATGCCGTGGCTCTGAGGAAGAGGGGATCCCCTCTCGAAACGTGTCAGCCATTCTTTGAGCGTCTTCTTGTATGAGGGACTCGCACAGTACTCCAGACCATGGGCCTATGTTGGTCATGATATGCTTATAAAATGTTGGTGTTTGTGAATATACATCTGCTATTTTTTATTGTTAAATTACTTTTATTGAGGTAATGGGCAAGGCTTGTGCGCCCTTTTCTTTTTCATATTTTATAGTGCTTATCTGGGCTTTCCCAGCTCCTAGGGGGCTACACAGCATTGCCTAATTGGACTGAATGTAGAGGTATATGAAGACCTGTCTACAAATGCCCAATCCAGTTTTATGACCGCAGGCATTTTTTTTCTTCTCTCTGGCCTCTATAGGTGCATTCAGGAGTTTAGTGGCAGGGGAGTTTACAGGCAAAAAGAAAACATCACTTGTGCGTTCAGGAGAGGAGCTTTTGAGCTTAAAAAATGCTCAAAAGTGCATTCATGCGCACTAACACTAGGCAACTTAACACACATTCCTGTGTTAATGCATTCTAATGGGGAGGACTGTGGCCAATAGAATGCATTAAAGTGTTACTAAACCCACAACAGTAAAATCAGTCTGTATATGCAGTAAAACATGGCTGTTATACATAAGGAACATAAGGAGTTAATCCTCCACATTTTGTAAAAAGGAACATAAGGGGTTAATCCTCCACATTTTGTTGGAACATAAGGGGTTAATCCTCCACATTTTGTAAAAAGTCTATCTGATCCTCCCTTCTACTGTCTACCATCTGCTGATAGTACAGAGCTCTAGAACTTACTCTGCACATGCTCAGTTTAGTGTGTATGGCTAGAGAGTTTTCTTTTTTATTTGGAAGGGTTCATGTGATCAGCACAGGGCCAATCAGCACTGTTCAGACAGAGGGCAGGGGTCATGCAGCCTCATGGGACAGTCAGAGCAGAATGAAAACTCCTCCTACAAGCTTTAACCATTGGTCAGCTGGACATTGATAAAAGTCACAAGACTGCTCTAACTGCTGATGAGAAAAAGTATTTAGCAGTTTATATCTGCTAAAATAATTGCATTTCCATGTTCTGTGTCTTGTGGGAGACCAGATATACTGAATGCAGGGTCCTGGGTTTAGTAACACTTTAACGCCAGAAGAGAGAGCGCATGTTAACGCCCATGCAAAAACAAGGCTTTTTACCTCATTTTTGATGCTGCAAACTCCTGTAGGGGAAAATAACATTTTTTAGGCTTACAGGTGTGCATAAAGCCTAATAATGTATATCAGCCCAATCCTGCAAATCTGTCTTCTCAGTGGAAGAGCTGGTCCTCTTCTATAGGTCTAAATGACAGATCCTATATAGGGCCAAAGTGTAAAATGACCTCTAGATTTAAAAAATGATGTTAAAAAAAAGAAATTGGAAGCAAAAAGTGAAAAATGTTTACATTGCACTTGACTTCCAGATGCTTCTTGTAGGCAAGGGTGACAAGGGCCTGGAAAAGCTGGGTACCCTTAATCCTGCTAGAAGTTGTGAACAGAATGGGAAATCAGCTGAATGATGAGACAGAGAGCAACTATAACTCGCAGTTTACTAAACAGATGAAAAACAGGTTCAACGTGGCAAAAACATGCAAAATACAAAAATGTGAATTTTGATTTTGAAAGCCGCACTAACATGGAGTCTGCACAGCAATGTCAGTAAGGCTCAGTCAGGGTAGCATAGGTTCTATAAAACACTCTATCAACAGAGTCAAGCTTTAGTAAAACTGTACAGAATGCAGCTAGGTGGGATTATCCTCATAGACAGTGTTCAACACAGTAAAGTCAAGGTTATCGCTCATAACAAAGATGCACAGTTGGAGGCATCCAAGGCCCAAAGATGAAGTGCCATCCCATCTGCAGTATTCTGGTATTAGTTGACATGCTGCATCCAATTAGGCTCTGGCCCAACTGACCACATGCTGGTACTGTCAATGGACAGCCTCTCCAGATTACTTGCCTAGTTAGATCTGCCAGGTGTAACCTCTCCGAGATGCTGAGGGAGGAAAACGCAGAAATGTATCTTCTCTGGGTGTGCAGGAAACCAGAAATTTGGGGTAAAAGGAGTTAGAGGGGCCTGTGTCTGTATCTAAACCTGGTGAGTCAATGGGTACTCTGCTATACCATACTCTGCCTTCTCACAGGATCTGGGATCCTCACCTTTCCAAGGACCCCCAGTAGAAGGTCCAGCAAGATCAACTTTTGCCTAGGCAAGCATCCTTGATATGGGATGTAAGATATTTTTTTCTTCTTCCGGTTCCATTTTTTTTCTTTTTAACCTAACATTTTTTTTTTTTAACGCAGGGTTGGTCTAATAAATTGGCCATGCGTGATAGGTCCACACCAAACAACTGTTAAACACAACAGAATCTGTATGCAAATCTGAACTGATTTTATTTACATTGTATTTACTTTGTAATTAGTACCGTATTTTTTCGCTCCATAAGACGCACCTGACCATAAGACGCACCTAGGTTTTAGAGGTGAAAAAAACAAGAAAAAAAAATATTCTGAACCAATGGACTGCAGACATAGTACAGGGAATGACCAGAGACTGCGGACACAGTACAGGAGATGACAAGAGACTGCAGACATAGTACAGGGGATGACCAGAGACTGCGGACAGTACAGGAGATGACCAGAGACTGCAGACATAGTACAGGAGATGACCAGAGACTGCGGACAAAGTACAGGGGATGACCAAGAGACTGCGGACATAGTACAGGAGATGACCAGAGACTGCAGAAACAGTACAGGAGATGACCAGAGACTGCGGACACAGTACAGGAGATGACCAGAGACTGCGGACACAGTACAGGAGATGACCAGGGACTGCGGACACAGTACAGGAGATGACCAGAGACTGCGGACACAGTGCAGGAGATGACCAGAGACTGCGGACACAGTGCAGGGAATGACCAGAGACTGCGGACAGTGCAGGGGATGACCAGAGACTGCGGACAGTGCAGGGAATGACCAGAGACTGCGGACAGTGCAGGGAATGACCAGAGACTGCGGACAGTGCAGGGGATGACCAGAGACTGCGGACAGTGCAGGGAATGACCAGAGACTGCAGACAGTGAAGGGGATGACCAGAGACTGCTGACCTTTGGGGAGGGAGGGGGAGCGGGTACCTGAATTTGACAGGTACCCGCTCCCACTTCCGCGGAGTTGCCTTCCCTCTTCTTCCCGGGCCGGCTTCTGTGACAGCCGGGTGCCCACTGCGCAGGTGCAAGAAGCGCTTCGCTTTGTGAATGGCCCGGCGCCTTCTGTGACCTTTCATGTGTGTCCCAGAAGACACCGGATCATTCACAAAGCGCAGCACATGCGCAGTGGGCACCCGGCTGTCACAGAAGCCAGCGCGGGAAGACTGCAGCGCTGGAGCGAGGAACAGGTAAGGCCCTGCAGGGGAGAGAACAGCTGAGCGGCCGGCCCGGTATTCTGACATGGTGGCGGCAGAAATACCGGACCGGCCGCTTTACATTCGCTCCATAAGACGCACTGACATTTTCCCCCCTTTTTGGGGGGGGGAAAAAAAGTGCGTCTTATGGTGCGAAAAATACGGTAATTGTGGAATTCACATTAAGGCCCTTTGAAAAGACACATGGGCACTGTTTGTGTCTTGAGAAAAAGAGGATTAAGTTTAAAGGATACAAAGGATTTTTTTAACCATAAATACTATGAAAATAAGGAATAGTAGCTGGATCAGAAATAATTTTTTTTCCCAATCACAGCAAATACTTTATAAGAGGTTTTTTTTCAACTGCAGTTTTAAGGTTCTAAGTAGAGATGAGCGAATCGAAGTAGGCGAAGTGGAATTCGTTTCGAATATTGGAAAATTTTCGATTCGCGCCGAATCCGAAAAATAGCATACTTCGGATGCGCGAATCAAAATTTTTCCTAAAATAGCGGCGACATGTGCGGCGACGGAGCGGGGGATGTCTGGGAAGGCACGCAGACAAGGCGCGCTGACCCATAATGCATTCATTAATGACATGTGATCGCATTAGCCAATCAGCAGCCAGCCAGCCAGCACTGTGTAATGGTCGAGCTATAAATGGCGGCCATTTTAGAATTCTGCATTTGCCTCCAGTCATTCAAGAGAGGCAGACCGCTCTGTATTGGGGACAGAGTTAGGGCCACAGAAACGTTACTTAGGGACAGAGAAACGTTACTTAGGGACAGAGAAACATTACTCAGGGACACAGAATTGTTACTGAGGGCCACAGAATCGTTACTTAGGGCCACAGAAACGCTAGTTAGGGCCACAGAATTGTTACTCAGGGACAGACACAGAATTGTTACTGAGGGCCACAGAATTGTTACTGAGGGCCACAGAAACGTTACTCAGGGACACAGAATTGTTACTGAGGGCCACAGAACTGTTACTTAGGGCCACAGAAACGTTAGTTAGGGCCACAGAATTGTTACTCAGGGACAGACACAGAATTGTTACTGAGGGCCACAGAATTGTTACTGAGGGCCACAGAAACACGTTACTCAGGGACACAGAATTGTTACTGAGGGCCACAGAACTGTTACTTAGGGCCACAGAAACGTTAGTTAGGGCCACAGAATTGTTACTCAGGGACAGACACAGAATTGTTACTGAGGGCCACAGAACCGTTACTTAGGGCCACAGAAATGTTACTCAGGGACACAGAATTGTTACTGAGGGCCACAGAATTGTTACTGAGGGCCACAGAATTGTTACTGAGGGCCACAGAAACGTTACTCAGGGACACAGAATTGTTACTGAGGGCCACAGAACTGTTACTTAGGGCCACAGAAACGTTAGTTAGGGCCACAGAATTGTTACTCAGGGACAGACACAGAATTGTTACTGAGGGCCACAGAATTGTTACTGAGGGCCACAGAAACGTTACTCAGGGACAGACAGAATTGTTACTGAGGGCCACAGAACTGTTACTTAGGGCCACAGAAAACGTTAGTTAGGGCCACAGAATTGTTACTCAGGGACAGACACAGAATTGTTACTGAGGGCCACAGAGCCGTTACTTAGGGCCACAGAAATGTTACTCAGGGACACAGAATTGTTACTGAGGGCCACAGAACTGTTACTTAGGGCCACAGAAAACGTTACTTAGGGCCACAGAATTGTTACTCAGGGACTGACACAGAATTGTTACTCAGGGACACAGAATTGTTACTGAGGACCACAGAACCGTTACTTAGGGCCACAGAAACGTTACTCAGGGACACAGAATTGTTACTTAGGGCCACAGAACCGTTACTTAGGGCCACAGAATTGTTACTCAGGGACAGACACAGAATTGTTACTGAGGGACACAGAATTGTTACTGAGGGCCACAGAACCGTTACTTAGGGCCACAGAAACGTTACTCAGGGACACAGAATTGTTACTGAGGGCCACAGAACCATTACTTAGGGCCACAGAATTGTTACTCAGGGACAGACACAGAATTGTTACTGAGGGACACAGAATTGTTACTGAGGGCCACAGAACCGTTACTTAGGGCCACAGAATTGTTACTCAGGGACACAGAATTGTTACTGAGGGCCACAGAACCGTTACTTAGGGCCACAGAATTGTTACTCAGGGACAGACACAGAATTGTTACTGAGGGACACAGAATTGTTACTGAGGGCCACAGAACCGTTACTTAGGGCCACAGAAACGTTACTCAGGGACACAGAATTGTTACTGAGGCCACAGAACCGTTACTTAGGGCCACAGAATTGTTACTCAGGGACAGACACAGAATTGTTACTGAGGGACACAGAATTGTTACTGAGGGCCACAGAACCGTTACTTAGGGCCACAGAAATGTTACTCAGGGACACAGAATTGTTACTGAGGGCCACAGAACTGTTACTTAGGGCCACAGAAACCGTTACTTAGGGCCACAGAATTGTTACTCAGGGACAGACACAGAATTGTTACTGAGGGACACAGAATTGTTTACTGAGGGCCACAGAACCAGTTACTTAGGGCCACAGAATTGTTACTCAGGGACACAGAATTGTTACTGAGGGCTACAGAACCGTTACTTAGGGCCACAGAATTGTTACTCAGGGACAGACACAGAATTGTTACTGAGGGACACAGAATTGTTACTGAGGGCCACAGAACCGTTACTTAGGGCCACAGAAACGTTACTCAGGGACACAGAATTGTTACTGAGGGCCACAGAACCGTTACTTAGGGCCACAGAATTGTTACTCAGGGAGAGACACAGAATTGTTACTGAGGGACACACAGAATTGTTACTGAGGGCCACAGAACCGTTACTTAGGGCCACAGAATTGTTACTCAGGGACACAGAATTGTTACTTAGGGCCACAGAACCGTTACTTAGGGCCACAGAATTGTTACTCAGGGACAGACACAGAATTGTTACTGAGGGACACAGAATTGTTACTGAGGGCCACAGAACCGTTACTTAGGGCCACAGAAACGTTACTCAGGGACACAGAATTGTTACTGAGGGCCACAGAACCGTTACTTAGGGCCACAGAATTGTTACTCAGGGACACAGAATTGTTACTGAGGGCCACAGAACCGTTACTTAGGGCCACAGAATTGTTACTCAGGACAGACACAGAATTGTTACTGAGGGACACAGAATTGTTACTGAGGGCCACAGAACCGTTACTTAGGGCCACAGAAACGTTACTCAGGGACACAGAATTGTTACTGAGGGCCACAGAAACCGTTACCGTTACTTAGGGCCACAGAATTGTTACTCAGGGACAGACACAGAATTGTTACTGAGGGACACAGAATTGTTACTGAGGGCCACAGAACCGTTACTTAGGGCCACAGAAACGCTACTCAGGGACACAGAATTGTTACTGAGGGCCACAGAACCGTTACTTAGGGCCACAGAATTGTTACTCAGGGACAGACACAGAATTGTTACTGAGGGACACAGAATTGTTACTGAGGGCCACAGAACCGTTACTTAGGGCCACAGAATTGTTACTCAGGGACAGACACAGAATTGTTACTGAGGGACACAGAATTGTTACTGAGGGCCACAGAACCATTACTTAGGGCCACAGAAACGTTACTCAGGGACACAGAATTGTTACTGAGGGCCACAGAACCGTTACTTAGGGCCACAGAATTGTTACTCAGGGACAGACACAGAATTGTTACTGAGGGACACAGAATTGTTACTGAGGGCCACAGAACCGTTACTTAGGGCCACAGAATTGTTACTCAGGGACACAGAATTGTTACTGAGGGCCACAGAACCGTTACTTAGGGCCACAGAATTGTTACTCAGGGACAGACACAGAATTGTTACTGAGGGACACAGAATTGTTACTGAGGGCCACAGAACCGTTACTTAGGGCCACAGAAACGTTACTCAGGGACACAGAATTGTTACTGAGGGAAACAGAATTGTTACTCAGGGCCACAGAATTGTTACTCAGGGACAGACACAGAATTGTTACTCAGGGACACAGAATTGTTACTCAGGGACACAGAATTGTTGAATTAAAGAGTATGTCAGACAACATGCAGAGGAGTGGCAGAGGAGGCAATGTTTTAGGAGCGAGCAGACGTGGCAGCAGAGGAAGGGGGTCGAGGCAGCACTAGTCGCAGCCAGAGGCCAGTGCTCCCGGTGTCATCCAGCGGTCGTGTCTCCACCGACAACCCTGCCGTCATCGATTGGTTGGCTCGGTCGTCTTCCTCTTCCCAGGTCACCTCTGACACCTACAGCCAACGGTCGGTGGGTACGTCAGGACACAACCGTTAGTTGGCATGGCCCGGGAGCAAGCCCACTGAAATCACGTGTCCTCTACCTGCCCCTGTCCTTTGCTGTTCCCTCACCAAGCGAAGTATCGCATGCTGTGGGCTCAGCCCCACTGTACAGTGAGGAAGAGCTAACAGAGGGCGGTCAGGAACGGGGGGAGACATCCGCCTTTTCAGCAGCCAGGCGAAGAAGTACTGGCGAGGAGAGTGGCTCGGTAGCCGGTCTAGAGACAGGTCTGTCTCCTGACCCAGACGCAGCCGAGGGGGCTAGTAGTGAGGCGGAGACCGTACTTGATGATGAGGAGGTTGATCGCACTTGGCAGCCTCGTCGTCATCAGGCAATTTCTTCCGCATCATCAGGAGAAGAGGGTGCCAGCTTGGCAGCGAGCGAAACAGTCGGTGGGTTGCCCAGGAGGCAGCAGGGTCGCAGCAGTGTCAGTGGAGCCAAACGGCCACGGAGTAGAGCACCAGCTCCACTGCAGCCTACCACCACGGCCAGTAGTTGGTGCCGTGCGCACGGAGGAAGTAGCAGTCAGCCAGTGAGGAGTAGCGGGGGCAAAGTTTCCTACTCGGTGGTGTGGCAATTTTTCGTCAAGCCGCCCGAGGAAGTAAACGTAGCCGTATGTCGACTATGTGGCCAGAAAGTCAAGCGTGGCCAGGGGGCCCATGTTGGGACTACAGCGTTGCGTCAGCATATGCAGCGTCGCCATTTGGTGGCCTGGGAAAACCGTGATAAAGATACGGCGGTTCTGCCTGCCCCAGCCCCCGCTCCATCACCCGCTCCGTTACTTGCTCCGTCACCCGACGTCAATCGCCCTCTATCAGCCAGTCAAGGCTCCAACACCTCTGCTGAGGGGAGTTGTCGCTCGTTGGCATCTTCCGCTCGTTCAGATGCTCCTTCTCCTGCTACTCCTCTTCTCGGATTCCGTCAGCAGTCTTTCTTGGAATCCGTTTCCAAGAGACAACAGTTTGCGAGCACGCACCCGACGGTGCAAAAGCTGAACGTCTTCCTGTCCAAGTTGCTGGTGCTGCAGTCTCTCCCTTTCCAAGTGGTGGACTCAGCACCTTTCCGAAAAATGATGGCTTGTGCCGCGCCGCGGTGGAGAGTGCCAAGCCGTCATTTCTTCGCCAAAAAGGCAGTGCCAGCCCTGCATTCACATGTAGAAGAGATGGTGGGCCAGTCTTTGAGCATGTCGGTCTCTGCCAAAGTGCATGGCAGCGCCGACGTGTGGAGCTGTAACTACGGTCAGGGACAGTACATGTCATTTACGGCCCACTGGGTGAACGTGGTGCCGGCACAGCCGCACCAGCAACTTGGACAGGTCACGACGCTTTTGCCTCCACGTTTGCACGTCCTTGGTCCAGCAAACATGTCCGCCTCTACCGCCTCTTCTTCCGCCGTGTCCTCAGCCGCCACCCCCGTGCCCAAGTCCCATTACCCGACCGGCATATCACATGTGCAGGGCGCAACGGTGTCATGCTGTGCTGCACCTGGTATGCCTTGGCGAACGTAGTCACACAGGGGAGGAACTTCTGAGTGTAATGAACAGAGAAATCGACAGATGGCTGTCTCCGCGCAAACTGAAAATCGGAACCATGTTGACCGACAACGGAAAGAACATGGTGTCTGCTCTGCGTCAAGGAAGGTTGTGCCATGCGCCATGCATGGCTCACGTGTTCAATCTGGTTGTCAAGCGGTTCCTAAAATCCACCATCCCACTGCAAGACATCCTTAAAATGTCACGTAAACTTTGCATGCATTTCAGCCATTCCTACAGCGCAAAGCACACCCTCCTTGAGCTGCAGCGGCAGAACGGAATTCCACAGCATCGCCTGATCTGCGACGTTGCAACAAGGTGGAATTCAACCCTACTCATGTTAGACCGCCTTTACCAACAGCGAAAGGCCATCACCGATTTCCTGATGTTACAAGCTGATAAAGGTACTCCCCTGTGTAACTTAGATGTCAGCCATTGGCAGCTCATGCGTGACACCTGCCGCTTGCTCAGGCCCTTTGAGGAGGCCACGCTATTCGTGAGTCGGCAGGACTATGGGATGAACGACGTCATTCCTCTGTTGCACGTCCTGGAACAAATGCTGTTAACAATGGCTGGTCAGGGTGCGGTAGACGTGGCGCACAGATCTCAACGCCACATGACCCCTGTGGGGGCAGGACAGGAAGAAGAGGAGGAGGTAGAGGAGGACATTTGTGCTCAGGAATTATTGAGTGAAATGGGTGGTTTTTTCCACTCAGCGGACAGGAGTGGAGGAGCAGGAGCATCTGGGAGAGGAGGAGGAGGAGGAGACAGAGGACCCAGACGCACCGTGGCAGTATGCTGTGGAGATGGAGGAAGGGAGTCCCTCGCATTCCTTGGCACAAATGGCCCATAGCATGCTCGGTTGCTTGCGTAGCGACAGCCGAATAATAACCATCAGACAGAGGGATGGACTTTTGGCTGTCCACCTTGTTGGACCCTCGCTACCGTTCCAAAATGGTGGCCTTTTTCACACCTGCTGAGAGGGAGGCCAAAATTTCGTACTATAAAAACCACCTATGTAGTCAGTTGGTCTCTGCCTTTCTGCGCCAACGTCCATCCTCAGACACTGTGGGCCCTGTGCGCTCGCGTTCCGCTGCCATGGCAGCAGGGGAGGGGTGGGGTGGTAGGAGCAGTGGCAGCTCCACCAGCAGCGGCTGCCTCAGTCTGCAGTCGATGATGAGTAGCTTTCTTCACCAGCGCAGTGAGGAAACTACTAACCAGCCGCAGCAGCAGCAGCAGCAGCAGCAGCAGCATCAGGTGGACCTGGAGCAGGAGCTCAAACAACAGGCTTGGGCCTACTTGGACAGCACCCTGCCAACCGAGGTAGACAATCCCCTTGACTACTGGGCAACGAAACTTAACCTTTGGCCCCAACTAGCTGAATTTGCCCTTGAAAGGCTGTCATGCCCGGCCAGTAGCGTGGCATCGGAGCGCGTGTTTAGTGCGGCAGGAGGTATTGTAACTCCGCGGAGGACACGACTGTCCACCCAAAGTGTGGAGAGACTCACGTTTGTGAAAATGAATCAGGCGTGGATTAGTCTGGATTTCAAAACCACCAGTTCCTGACACAACTGACTAAATCCGCCATGAATCATGCCCCTGCCATGTGCCACTTTCAGGTCTCCTCACACTGCTGGTGTGTTTCATTTTGTCATAGGGTGCTGGCAGATTACGGGGCCTCCCATAGCTGCTGCCAGGCCCCTAATCTGCCATGGGCCCCTATACCGCCTCCTCATGCTGCTGCCAGGTCCAGAGTCTTTCATGCCATGTGCCACTTTCAGGTCTCCTCACACACTGCTGGTGTGTTCAATTTTTTGACATAGGGTGCTGGCAGATTACGGGCCTCCCATAGCTGCTGCCAGGCCCCTAATCTGCCATGGGCCCCTATACCGCCTCCTCATGCTGCTGCCAGGTCCACAGTGTCTCATGGGTCCCTGTACCGCCTCCCATTGCTGCTGTCTCCATCGCCACACTCTGCCATGTGCCACTTTCAGGTCTCCTCACACTCCTGCTGGTTTCCATTTTGTCATAGGGTTGCTGGCAGATTGCAGGCCTCCCATAGGTGCTGCCAGGCCCCTAATCTGCCATGGGCCCCCGTACCGCCTGGTCACGCTGCTGCCTGGGTCCAGAGTGTGACATGGGTCCCTGTACCGCCTCCCATTGCTCCCACTCTGCCATGTGCCACTTTCAGGTTCCCTCACACTCCTGCGGTTTTCCATTTTTTCATAGGGTTTGCTGTCAGATTACGGGGGCCTCCCTGGCTGCCAGGCCCCTAATTACATGGGCCCCTATACCATAGGTGCCATGGGTCCAGAGTCTCTCATGCCATGTGCCAGGTCTCCTCACAAATCTTCCATGGGCCCCCCGTACCGCCTGGCCCTCTGTCACGGCTGCTGCCAGGTCCACAGTGTGACATGGGTCCCTGTACCTCCCTCCCATGCTGCTCCCACTCTGCCATGTGCCACTTTCAGGTCTCCTCACACTCCTGCGGTTTTCCATTTTGTCATAGGGTGCTGGCAGATTACAGGCCTCCCATAGGTGCTGCCAGGCCCCAAATCTGCCATGGGCCCCGTAACCGCCTGGTCACGCTGCTGCTGGGTCCACAGTGTGACATGGGTCCCTGTACCGCCTCTGCTGTCTCCATTGCTCCCACTCTGCCATGTGCCACTTTCAGGTCTCCTCACACTCCTGCGGTTTTCCATTTTGTCATAGGTGCTGGCAGATTACAGGCCTCCCATAGGTGCTGCCAGGCCCCAAATCTGCCATGGGCCCCCGTACCGCCTGGTCACGCTGCTGCTGGGTCCACAGTGTGACATGGGTCCCTGTAACCGCCTCCCATTTGCTCCCACTCTGCCATGTGCCACTTTCAGGTCTCCTCACACTCCTGCGGTTTTCCATTTTGTCATAGGTTGCTGGCAGATTACAGGCCTCCCATAGGTGCTGCCAGGCCCAAATCTCTGCCATGGGCCCCCGTACCGCCTGGTCACGCTGCTGCTGGGTCCACAGTGTGACATGGGTCCCTGTACCGCCTCCCATTGCTCCCACTCTGCCATGTGCCACTTTCAGGTCTCCTCACACTCCTGCGGTTTTCCATTTTGTCATAGGTTGCTGGCAGATTACAGGCCTCCCATAGGTGCTGCCAGGCCCCAAATCTGCCATGGGCCCCCGTACCGCCTGGTCACGCTGCTGCTGGGTCCACAGTGTGACATGGGTCCCTGTACGCCTCCCATTGCTCCCACTCTGCCATGTGCCACTTTCAGGTCTCCTCACACTCCTGCGGTTTTCCATTTTGTCATAGGTTGCTGGCAGATTACAGGCCTCCCATAGGTGCTGCCAGGCCCCAAATCTGCCATGGGCCCCCGTACCGCCTGGTCACGCTGCTGCTGGGTCCACAGTGTGACATGGGTCCCTGTACCGCCTCCCATTGCTCCCACTCTGCCATGTGCCACTTTCAGGTCTCCTCACACTCCTGCGGTTTTCCATTTTGTCATAGGTTGCTGGCAGATTACAGGCCTCCCATAGGTGCTGCCAGGCCCCAAATCTGCCATGGTCCCCCGTACCGCCTGGTCACGCTGCTGCTGGGTCCACAGTGTGACATGGGTCCCTGTACCGCCTCCCCATTGCTCCCACTCTGCCATGTGCCACTTTCAGGTCTCTCACACTCCTGCGGTTTTCCATTTTGTCATAGGTTTGCTGGCAGATTACAGGCCTCCCATAGGTGCTGCCAGGCCCCAAATCTGCCATGGGCCCCCGTACCGCCTGGTCACGCTGCTGCTGGGTCCACAGTGTGACATGGGTCCCTGTACCGCCTCCAATTGCTCCCACTCTGCCCGCCACTTTCCTCACATCCTGCGGTTTCCATTTTGTCACTCAGATTACAGGCCTCCCATAGGTGTTGCAAAATCACTGCTTTCCACAGTGTGACATGGGTCCCTGTACCGCCTCCCATTGCTCACACTCCTGCCATGTGCAGGTTCCCTTCCTGCGGTTTTCCATTTTGTCATAGGTTGCTGGCAGATTACAGGCCTCCCATAGGTGCTGCCAGGCCCCAAATCTGCCATGGGCCCCCGTACCGCCTGGTCACGCTGCTGCTGGGTCCACAGTGTGACATGGGTCCCTGTACCGCCTCCCATTGCTCCCACTCTGCCATGTGCCACTTTCAGGTCTCCTCACACTCCTGCGGTTTTCCATTTTGTCATAGGTTGCTGGCAGATTACAGGCCTCCCATAGGTGCTGCCAGGCCCCAAATCATGCCATGGGCCCCCGTACCGCCTGGTCACGCTGCTGCTGGGTCCACAGTGTGACATGGGTCCCTGTACCGCCTCCCATTGCTCCCACTCTGCCATGTGCCACTTTCAGGTCTCCTCACACTCCTGCGGTTTTCCATTTTGTCATAGGTTGCTGGCAGATTACAGGCCTCCCATAGGTGCTGCCAGGCCCCAAATCTGCCATGGGCCCCCGTACCGCCTGGTCACGCTGCTGCTGGGTCCACAGTGTGACATGGGTCCCTGTACCGCCTCCCATTGCTCCCACTCTGCCATGTGCCACTTTCAGGTCTCCTCACACTCCTGCGGTTTTCCATTTTGTCATAGGTTGCTGGCAGATTACAGGCCTCCCATAGGTGCTGCCAGGCCCCAAATCTGCCATGGGCCCCCGTACCGCCTGGTCACGCTGCTGCTGGGTCCACAGTGTGACATGGGTCCCTGTACCGCCTCCCATTGCTCCCACTCTGCCATGTGCCACTTTGAAGGTCTCCTCACACTCCTGCGGTTTTCCATTTTGTCATAGGTTGCTGGCAGATTACAGGCCTCCCATAGGTGCTGCCAGGCCCCCAAATCTGCCATGGGCCCCCCGTACCGCCTGGTCACGCTGCTGCTGGGTCCACAGTGTGACATGGGTCCCTGTACCGCCTCCCATTGCTCCCACTCTGCCATGTGCCACTTTGAAGTCTCCTCACACTCCTGCGGTTTTCCATTTTGTCATAGGTTGCTGGCAGATTACAGGCCTCCCATAGGTGCTGCCAGCCCCAATCTGCCATGGGCCCCCGTACCGCCTGGTCACGCTGCTGCTGGGTCCACAGTGTGACATGGGTCCCTGTACCGCCTCCCATTGCTCCCACCTCTGCCATGTGCCACTTTCAGGTCTCCTCACACTCCTGCGGTTTTTTCCATTTTGTCATAGGTTGCTGGCAGATTACAGGCCTCCCATAGGTGCTGCCAGGCCCCAAATCTGCCATGGGGCCCCCGTACCGCCTGGTCACGCTGCTGCTGGGTCCACAGTGTGACATGGGTCCCTGTACGCCTCCCATTGCTCCCACTCTGCATGTGCCCACTTTCAGGTCTCCTCACACTCCTGCGGTTTTCCATTTTGTCATAGGTTGTGGCAGATTACAGGCCTCCCATAGGTTGCCAGGCCCCAAATCTGCCATGGGCCCCCGTACCGCCTGGTCACGCTGCTGCTGGGTCCACGTGTGACATGGGTCCCTGTACCGCCTCCCATTGCTCCCACTCTGCCATGTGCCACTTTCAGGTCTCCTCACACTCCTGCGGTTTTCCATTTTGTCATAGGTTGCTGGCAGATTACAGGCCTCCCATAGGTGCTGCCAGGCCCCAAATCTGCCATGGGCCCCCGTACCGCCTGGTCACGCTGCTGCTGGGTCCACAGTGTGACATGGGTCCCTGTACCGCCTCCCATTGCTCCCACTCTGCCATGTGCCACTTTGAAGTCTCCTCACACTCCTGCGGGTTTTTCCATTTTGTCATAGGTTGCTGGCAGATTACAGCCTCCCATAGGTGCTGCCAGGCCCCAAATCTGCCATGGGCCCCCGTACCGCCTGGTCACGCTGCTGCTGGGTCCACAGTGTGACATGGGTCCCTGTACCGCCTCCCATTGCTCCCACTCTGCCATGTGCCACTTTCAGGTCTCCTCACACTCCTGCGGTTTTCCATTTTGTCATAGGTTGCTGGCAGATTACAGGCCTCCCATAGGTGCTGCCAGGCCCCAAATCTGCCATGGGCCCCCGTACCGCCTGGTCACGCTGCTGCTGGGTCCACAGTGTGACATGGGTCCCTGTACCACCTCCCATTGCTCCCACTCTGCCATGTGCCACTTTCAGGTCTCCTCACACTCCTGCGGTTTTCCATTTTGTCATAGGTTGCTGGCAGATTACAGGCCTCCCATAGGTGCTGCCAGGCCCCAAATCTGCCATGGGCCCCCGTACCGCCTGGTCACGCTGCTGCTGGGTCCACAGTGTGACATGGGTCCCTGTACCGCCTCCCATTGCTCCCACTCTGCCATGTGCCACTTTCAGGTCTCCTCACACTCCTGCTGGTTTCCATTTTGTCATAGGTTGCTGTATGGCCTCCCATTGCTGCTGCCTCCACCGCCACACTGTGGCTCCAAACACTGGTTTTGGCCCCGTGACTGGCCAAATGAGTGAAGTGTGCGGTGATTCTAAGATCGACGGCACTCATCTGCATGTTATACTGACTGACAGTATTATTTCTCTTCCCCAGCAGACTCCAAGGGCATTTAAATTAAAGGTACAGTGTTCTGCACTAATATTAAGTCTCTCTGAAGCCTAGAAACACCCTTTTTTAAGTTAAATTCACAGCGAATATATTCGACTCGAATCAAATATTTTCCACGAATTCGCCGAATCAGTCGAATCGAATTTTTGAATACTTCGCTCATCTCTAGTTCTAAGCATGCAAGGTTTTTTATTTATGTATTTATTTTGTGGTTGAACTCCATGGATCTGTGTTTTTCTTTTTTCAACTTGATTTAGAGAATTCTTTGCATCTCATTAGTGTGTAGAGCTGCTTGAATGATGCCCAAGGTTCTTTTCCTAGTAGTTGCTCTGCAGCCAGGCACACAGTCACAGTTACGCTTTGGCTCAATGAACAGTCCAGATGTATTCTTTTTGATGTTTTTATTTTTGGGTAACCTGCATGGGGATAAGGAATTCAAATGGGATGACACTTTCTCTTCTGTAGAACTATGAGCCAACTCCTTGTTCCAGTAAAGGGGGTGGAATAAGTAGGGTAATAACAATTTGAGGAGATTAATCATCCTTTCTGGACAGTCCAAGCAAACAGCAATGGTGTATTAGGTTTTGTGCTGCCCTAGGCAACACAAAAATTGTGCGCCCCCCAATGAGAGAGCGAGAGAGTTCAATGAGTGTGTGTGTGTGTATATATGATTCTCTCTCTCTCTCTCTCTCTCTCTCTCTCTCTCTCTCTCTCTCTCTCATTTCTCTCTTCCCTCTCTCTTCCCTCTGTCCCTCTTCCCTCTCTCTTTCTCTTTCTCTTTCTTCCCTCTCTCCCTCTTTCTCTCTCTTCCCTCTCTCCCTCTTTCTCTCTCTTCCCTCTCTCCCTCTTTCTCTCTCTTCCCTCCCTCCCTCTTTCTCTCTTTCTCTCTCTTCCCTCCCTCCCTCTTTCTCTCTCTTCCCCTCCCTCCCTCTTTCTCTCTCTTCCCTCCACCCCCCATCTCTCTCTCTTCCTTCTCTCTTCCCCCCCCTCTCTCTCTCTCTCGCTCTCTTGCTCTCTCGCTCTCTCTCTTCTCTCTCTTCCCTCTCTTCCCTCTCTTCTCTCTCTCTCCCCTCTCTCCTCTCTCTTCCCTCTCTCTCCTCCCCCCTCTCTTTCTTTCCTCTCTCTTCTTCTCTCCCCCCCCTCTCTCTCTCTTTCTTCCCTCTCTCTTCTCTCTCTCTTCTCTCTCTCCCTCTTTCTTTCTCTCTTCCCTCTTTCTCTCTCTCTCCCCTCTCTCCCTCTCTTTCTCTCTCGTCTTTCTCTCTCTCTTCCCTCTCTCTTCTCTCCCTCTTTCCCTCCCTCTTCTCTCTCTTCCCTCTCTCCCTCTTTCTCTCTCTGTTATACAAACTTTGATGTAAGGAGGAACTCTGAGAAGAACTCCTGATATACGGAGTGACTATGTTAGGGACACCTGATATAATGGGGTTCTGTTTAATCACCCTAAACTAATGACAATATTCCTAGTTCACTCCTGCACCACCTCTGCACTACCTGTAAAATGCTACTCTGTGGTACAAAAGTGTGCCAAGTGAACAGGGAATACTGGTTCCATGCATCCCTGTCACACTACTGACATTATGCCCCCTGACTTTTTTTTACTGCACCCCCAAATCAAACAGGCTAGATCTGGTTCTGCAAGCAAAGCCCTTTCATTAAGAATTAAATAGACTGAGCTCTTCAGGACACTGAACACTTTGCCCCCTTTAAATACACACAGCTAACTCTCTAACTCCAGAAGGGTCGCAACAGCACAAAGTCTTCAGGATCTCTCCAGCCGTCTGTACTCAGAAATGTCTTCAGACGATTGTCTGCCTCCTTCCAATGCCTTCCAGACACTTTCTCCCTTTGATACCAGACAAGATCCACAGCTGACAGGCCCCCCTCAGTCACCTCCAGCAACTTCCAGCAAAATACAACCCCCCCCCCCAGCCTACCCAGTTGGGACCGTAATGATCAGCAAACATGTGGCAGGTAGCCTGGGGGGAAATCAGCCTCCCCAAGACTGTGATCTCCTCCTCAGGGGTAAGACAATACTGTTCCAGGTCTCAAACTATTTATACACTTTTCCAGACCCATTTTGTGCAACCTTTTCACAGGGATTGGCTGAGACAGTCTAAATATTCATGCTGCCCATTTTCCATTACTTCACACCTATGTTCCAGAACTATCCAGAGGGTTCTAGAAGACAGGAGGAGTAATCAAAAGGAACAAAGAAGGGCGCAAGGTAGGTGTGAATTAAAAAAAAATACTTTATTCAATGCTCTCTTACAAGTGAAGAAACTTGTATACTGCTCCAGTAGCCAGCAGTGACAGCTCTCTCCAGTCTGGAGGAACTGATAGCAGCTACAGGACATAAGAAGGGACCCATTGGTGGAAGGAACTCAGCAGCATTTCTCCCCTTGCTCCCACCAACTGACAGGAGATTGTGACAGGTACCGTGGATGACAGCTGCTGAGTTTCTTCCACCAGCGAGTCCCTTCTTATGCCCTACAGTTGCTATCGGTTCCATCAGACTGCAGGGAGCTGTCACCGCATATTGCCCTGGCTACTGGAGCAATATACAGGTTTCTTCACATGTAAGTTGGCATTGAATAAAGTATTATCTTTTTAACTCACACTTACCTGGTGCCCTGCTGTGTTCCTTTTGCATGTACATAAGAGATTTCCCAGATGCTTTGGTGAGAAGCCGCCGGAGTTTGTGTGTCCCAACTGTTTCACATCCCATCTGTCCATCCATCTATCCACTGCAGTCCATCTTATGGATTTACCTCTATTACTCTTATCCCTTTCTCTATTCCACTGCTGTTTTGAGCAAACCTGCAGCCTGTAAAACACAGAACAGAACTATAGCTGGGTACACACAGTCAGAATATCAGCCAGTTCAGCAGAAACCAGCCAACCATGTGTACAGCTGTCCTTCTGACAGAAGCCAGTCTAAAAACTGGCTTTTGTCGAAGGGACATGCTGGAAAACCAACGTCCAATCAGCGCTTGCAGCCAATGGCTGCGAGTGCTGATTAGTGTGTTCTTGGGGTGGGGAGGAAGAGGTGGTTTGGGGAGTTCTACTGTCATATAGAAAGGCACAGTGGGAAAGCTCGCTGTACTAACATTGCTTAGTTAGTGCAGCAATCTCTCGGGATGAACGAAAAAGAACTTTAAAGCGGAGTTCCAGCTGAAAAAATAAAAATAAAAGTCAGCAGCTACAAAAACTGTAGCTGCTGACTTTTAAACTACAACCACTTGGTCCAGCGGTGTCCTCACCACCGCTGGTTTCACCGGCCATCTTCTCTCCCTGGTATCGGCATCTATAGTGTGGGCACTCAGCTGTGACAGCTTTCTGCTTCACAGCTGGGTGCCCACTGCGCATGCGTGAGAAGTGCTACACTTTGTGAATGGCCCCAAAGTCTTCTGGGACCTGTCACGTGTCCCAGAAGACTACGGGGAAGGGGGGGGGGGGGGGACAACTTCTGCTTCCGATCACCTAGGCGGTTGCAGTGGAAGTGGGAGCGGGTACCTGTCAAATTTGGGTACCGACTCCCCAATCGTTAACGGGAAGCGGGGGACAAAGCATTAAAGCGGAACTTCCCCTTTTGGGTGGAGCTCCGCTTTAATGTGTGTACCAGGCTTAAACAATCGCAAACAGCCACACTGATTTCAGTGAGACAAAGTAAATTTACGTATCCTGGCACCTATATTTAAAAATATACCATGCCTGGAATTATTCTTTAAATAAAAAAACTGAACTTTGAAAAAGCATATGGGTGAAATCAAAACTGAACTGAAGATAATTACATCTACACTTTAATACTTGCTATCTAAGCTGCTTGTATCTCTTTATGAGCTTCATTTTCTTTTTCACAGATCCACTCAGTTGCATTAGTAAATAACCCTATGGAAGTGGTGGTCACTTATACAAACCCTTTATCTACCAAACTAACTGATGGAGTTTTGTCTTTTGGGGGCAGCGGCTTAGTCAAGAAAAAAATTAAGAAAAAGTGAGTAAGATCTCTGATATACACTATGATTATCAACAGAATAAAACAAATGACATATACAATATTAACACCTGATTCTTATTTTTAGAGTTCCAGCAATGGTCCCCAGAGAGACACGCAATATGCTGATAGAAATTACTCCTTCAAGAACTGGCACAAGGCAGCTTACGGTGCATTTTACTTCCAAACACTTTTCAGCTATTAAGGGTTTCCATACCATAAATGTAACAGATGTAGTTGAAGTGGATGACGAATTATACGATGAATGAAACAATAGCAGGCACCACAATGTAAGCTTGGCTTAAACTGACTTTTTCTATTCATTTTGTTAAATTATCTAACAGTACCTGTGCATAGGGAATGGGGTATGTTTGTTATTGATTCCACTTTCAAATGACAGCTCTAAAACAATACAAAGACAGCAGCTGTGAAGACTCTGTGTAAAAAGTATAAAAAGGATGGTGTCATTGTATATGGGCAGTCTCACTGTACATTGCCACTGCAGATCTGCCCTCTGAAGATAAATTAAAATTTTAAACAGAGTTTTTACAGCAGTTAGGGAATGATAGGGATTAATAATGAGGGAGCAATAAGAAGCAATGCAGTAGATATACAGTACCTAAATATTTCAGTATGTTTGGCAACATGCCTCACTGAATACAGATTACATAACCACTTGCCCTCCAGAGGATTTACCCCCCTTCCTGACCAGGCTATTTTTTGCAATACGGCGCTGAGTTACTTTTGTTTTGTTCCCACAAATATAGCTTTCTTTCGGTGGTATTTGATCACCTCCAAGTTTTTTATTTTTTGCACTATAAACAAAAAAAGACCAACAATTTTGAAAAAAAAATATTTTTTACTTTTTGCTATAAAACATATTTAATAAAAAAATTAAAAATCAATTTTCTTTATAGATTTAGGCCAAAATGTATTCTGCTACATCTTTGCTAAAAAAAATCCCAATACGTGTAAATTAAATTAATAGTTTTACATGAAATTTATAGCATCTACAGAGAAATACAAAGCAGCATGTCCTTGCTGA